GTGACAGAAAGCAGCAAGTTTTGAGAGTCGATTTTATAGGATACTCACCCCATCACGTAACGAATCAAAGTCTCAGAACCTAATGTTTGTAAATCTGTTTGTTATGGGTTATAAAACCTAGCTCGAATTAAGAAATTAGGTATATTAAAGTTACAGAAAGAGATCGCAGGCTTTTGCTAGGTTCATGACTGAGAGCTTCGTCTTCAAGTTTCAGTTTCGTAGCTTTTGCGGCTTAGTAAATCGAATTATAGAATCGCATATACATTTCTATTACACCGGCTGTGCAAAAACGCACGGACAGGCCCCGCTAATGTAAGTCTGCCTGCCAAAAAGTCACCTTTTTTCTGAAGTTTACCAAGAATTCTCGCAAAATAGAAAACCTTATTTGCAGTTCAGCCTACGGCTTTGCTTGTTGAATAAAGTGGAATTGACTCTTTCGCTTTAGGTTAACTTAATTCCGTCTGGACTGGAAATTCAGTTGCTGAACGGTAGTGGTTTTATCATATTTCAGGTAGTGAAGGTGCGGAAACATTGGATTCTCCGCCTGTGTACCCTCAACTTCCGTCAGCAATCAGTGAGCATGGTTCAAATGGCAATGGAACTGGCACCGTTAGAGTGAATGGAAAAAACACTAATTCAGATAGTAAAACTCACGAAATGCCAAAAAGTAAATTCAGTCGGCAACAAAATCCGCTTCGCAAATTGCTCGATTCTTCTGGTATGTCTTTTGTTATCTTAGATTTATCCAGCTCCTAACTGATGGAGCAAATCCAAAATCGGCACTGTCTGGCTTCCACCACTTAGAACAGTTTTCCTGGTATTGCAATGCGGAAGTAATTCCAAGGCTTCGTATTGGAGCTCAACGTTTCTCGACAACGTAACATATATCAGTGATCATCTCAGCTTTTTTAATTAATTCATTAGGGAAGAACAACACAGTCTTTTCACGTTCCTTCAGCGAACTTGCATTTCGATGATTTGTGCCTGTTTATTCAGATGTCTACATGTTTTCCCTATCCGAATGCCGGATTCACTTGCAAGAATTTTGAAGCGATACTTCCTTTAAGTAACATGAATTAGAATAAACCTTCTCTCCTAATTTAACTCTGTTCAATTTCTGGTTGTAACCCCTCTTCGTCTCATCTCTGAACAAAAGAGTTTTCAAGCGCTTTTTGTTGCGGAATTCTAGTGAAGAAAGCATCTAGCGGACGGAGCGGTTTATATTTGCAAACAATTGTGAACCGGTAGGGAATCGTACTCGTCTTCATCCCGGTCGTGACCTGCTAGACACTACACTACAGACCCTTGTGCTTTTCTTAACTGTCGGAGTAATTTGCATTTGTATGTACGCCATGGGCATACGTGCTGTTTTACGCTACTTCACGAGTAGCGCACAATTTTCCGTTTTTACTGACTTTTACGAGTATCCACAAAATGTGTTAACACATCATGCAAATGCTACAGTAACGACGCATTTCTGATGCTTTATGCAAACCTGTAAATTATAATTTGAGGAGCGGAAACGATCCGACAAAATCGTCGCCTCGCACGAGATGAGCACGACTGGTTAGCTGCTGTGGTCGAGCGTTCTTTTTTTATCGTTTTCCTTTTGATGTATACGTTTGTTACCGTTGGCATCAGCGCCATTGGTTTCTATTACTGGTCGTCCGTTGATTACATCACCAATCATTACAAGCAATGAGTTTTTGCAGTATCTGACCAAAATGCGATTAGATTATACTTTTTTACAGCACTTGCTAGCTCTCATACCAGTTGCTTTGAGTACAGAACTTCCTCAAAATATTTTGATTTAATA